TTGCTTGGTACAGATAAAATTATGGTACACACACAAATACTCTCTTTTCCTCTCTCTTTTTCTCTCTCTCTCTCACACACACTTACATATAACTATAATTCCATTGTAGTTTGCTTTCACTTAAACATCTTTATAATTAATGATAAATTATGATATAGTTCACTAAAAACATTTTATCAGAACCATATCTATCACACCATCTTGATTTTTTTTAAAAAAGCTTACAATTGTATGTAGAGAAAAATGGAAAAACCAAATTTTGAAAGGTCGTATTGAAAGGCTGGCTCTTGCATGGTAGAATCCTGTCTCAAAGATCAGCAACCAGAAAATACATTTAACACTGTTAGGAAACTGAGCCATGAAGGCCAGAGAGGAAAGAAAGAAGAGAAACAATATCACCAGGCCAATTCAGCTTCAATGGAGAGCTGGAACATGGAGGCACGTGGCATGGCATGGCATAATGGCGCCTGAGCTGGTCTGAGCCTACACAGGATCATGTCAGGGGGCCAAGGTCACGTGAAACTCCCAGCCCCAGGCACTGGACTGACACATTTAGTAACCTATCATCCAAGTTCACACCCCTGCCTCCAGGGATTCAGGCACGCCCATCACCTGAGAGGCAGTGGGTTTCACCTTCTCCCACCATGAAGACCAGACCCTGATACCAGACCCTCCCTACCATCCACCATGTGGCCAACATGGCACTGGCCAGACCCAATCTTCCTACTTCATAAGTAGTATCAGCTATATCTGAATCAAATTCTTTCATCTCCCCTTTTACTTATTGGAAGTTTCAAAATACCATATAATTTATAGTGATAGAGTATAATATAAATGCTTTACCTCTAATCAAAATAGCTTCAATAATTATAAACATAATACTTCCTAATTTCATCATGCACAAACCATGTAATGGACCAATTATATTGCTTTAGGCTCTAAATAGTCCTCAATGATTGAAGGATGCCACAGGAATGAAAATGTGAGCTTTAGAAACAGAATCTACAGACTCATTTTCAAGGCATCTGGAACAAGGTAGAGGTATACACACAAGTCACTGAGGTGAATCAGCAGGATTACCCATTAGTCATGTCTGCTAGGAAGTCACTCTTACATCTATGAGGCCTAAATCTGAATCTTTAACCTGGATATGACAGAAAACTTACAAGTGATTATGCCTTGCAAAAGAAAAAGAAAAACCTACGTATGCTGCCAATATGTTGCTTTTCCAAGCAATCAAAAAGTAAAATCATTGTTACCTAGCTAAGTCTTTCTAAAATTTCAAGTAGATTTCTTCCTCTGGCCTCAACACTGGCCAAAATACTTACTAGCCATGCTATTTATTATCAATGGATCTTATATTAAAAAAACTGAGTAGTTGTTCCGTAGTGTCTTCATATCCAGTTAGGAACATTGTTAGATGGTTTCAAGTATCCCTTCCACATAGCACAGCACATCACACAGCAATAGTATCAGCAGAAAGCAAGAACCTAATTTCACCAGCTAGTAAACTCAGCAAAACTACCCTGCCAAAAGTGCTTCAAGCAGCAAGAGGAAACAGAGCTCTGGTTTAAATGGACAAAGGGAAATGCTACTCAGTCATGAAAAGATTAGAGGTAGACATAACACTGGATGGTCACTGAAACACCAAAAGTCATAACCAGATTCTGCTTTAACATCAAGAATCTATTTAGTGACCTAGGATATGAATATAATAGAAGAAGAAACAAGGGTGGGGCAATTCTCCCTCAGATGACTACAGCTCTTACTCTCTCTCTTGAGAAAAAGAGAAGAAATTATCTCTGGCTGGCAAGAGTACCAGTGATACACACTGATGAACTCCTCCCTAAATGAACCAGCACCTTAATGTTGTATTTCAAAACTGAACTGTCTTGGAATTATTACATTTTTTAAAGGAAGAAAAGAGGGGTATGAAGCTCAATGTCCTGGTGTTGCTCAAGGTCATTCTGTTCAAAACAGAAGAGGGGAAAAAATGAGTAAATTAATCTAGGGGATGAGAATCAAATGATAATTACTTTCTTCCTATCTGTTCACATCTTTTCCCAGGGGTATCCTAACATTTCTCTTATGCTTTTCCTATTAATAGTGACCAAAGAAAGCTTACAAGAGAGGAGGCTTTCTCTAGGACATTTCCTATCCATACCTGGCTGACAACCCATCAGTGAGCTAGACTAGTTCTGCCTGTGGATCTTGCCAAACTAGAGACATAGATTCTGTCTGTAGAATCTTCTCCATTTCTCCAGACAAGTGAGAAAACAAGAGAGGGAGAAACATTTATTTTCATTTGGAAATATATACATGATACCTTGTTCTAGGAGCTACATTGGGTTCTGGCATTTAACCTAATTAAAATCTCATCAATGAATCACAATGTTAAACTTGAATCACATCCTAATCTCTGTTTAGGTTTTGAGCATTTAACATCAGGTTTAATGGTTTTGTTTTGACAAAGACAAGACTTAACTTGCAAAAAAAAAAAACAGAAACAATACTAAAAAGAGAGAGAGAGAGAGAGAGAGAGAGAGGAAAGAGACACGCAGAGTGGTATTTTCCAAGTAGCCATATTCACTAATTCACTAACTATCTGTCTTCACCAGCTTTCTTTTATTTGGTCACCCTTTAGGAGGTAGGACTTACTTGTGAACCTATTGGTGGGATAAGAAGATGGCATAATTTCAGTTGTCATAATATTCTGGATAAATTTAGGAGATAAAGGCATGCCCTTGTCAGATATTTAAGCACACACTAGTCAGCTCTCTCTAGGATTTTTTAAGTGATAGAGGAGTTGCACTTGGTCTCACTAAAAAGGAAAAGAAAAAGAAGAAAAGAAAATTGACGAAAAAAAATTGTTGTCAAATTCTTCCCAAATCTCCAGGTTTTTTTTTTTCTTTCTTAGTTTGTTTAGTTTATCTATACTTTTCCATGCAGGCAATCCTATTTTTTTTTTGCTATGTCTTCTGAGGGTAAAGGGTGGACCTGCTTTTCTATTCAAGTTGAGTTCCCCTTGCTGTCCTTCCTTAGATTGGAAAGTTACACATAAACCTGCCTGTATAATGGCTTTCCTCTCTTCGTGCTTAGTAAATATGAACTAGGGTATGTTAGATTAGTTGATATTATAGTAGCATTCTGAAAGAAGGCAAAGCAAGGAAGGGCATGGATGTCTTTATCAAACTCAGAAGAGCATGAGGGAAGAAGAGAAAGAACAAATGGAAATGTGGGAAACTATACATTTAATCGTGTAGTATTTAAATATCAAGACCTTCTTAGAGCGGTGTTTTTGAGTATTCACATGGGAGAAGGCTGGGGTGGAGAATGGGGATGTGTATGCAAAGGCAATCAGACACCACAGAGAGCCTTCCCATGCCTCTCCCACTGCCTTTTTTCTCACATCCAGGCTACCACCTTGGCCATTCTTTGCCTGTTGTCTGCTAGGGGGCTCCCGTTGAGCTCTCCAGCCCCACCCTAAGAAAGTGTCAAAGCCGACCTCACAGCTGCTGTGGCAAAGCCCAGCCCCCAAAGCTTGCTGCATACGTGGCCTTGTAGCACCACCAGCCTGCAAGGGCTGCTGCAGCAGCTGAGCCCAGACTCCAGAGAAGGAGTTGGGGATATCAGCTTGTAGGAACAACTAGAGCAGCAACTGGCCAGCTCATAGACGGTAAATGCCATCCTATGGGTATCTACAGAAACACCTCTAGTGGAAGAAAATCAGGCAGCACCCCTATACTTCCCTCACCCAGCCAGAACAACCCTGGTCTCTGCCTCCTGGAAGTACATCATGGCCAGATCCAAGAGCCAAACCTCCTCTGAGTACTGCCAGCAGGCAGCTCCCCCAAGGAGGGAGACAAATGAGCACTCCTTAGCTGAATTATTCAGATGGTCTTCACTATGTAATAAAACATTGATGAGACTACTTTAGAAGAGCTTTATCTTGTTAATTCTAATGCCCTCCAGAAGGGGGTGAAATTTTCCGCAGGGGAAGGACAGCAGAGGAGATGAGGAAAGAAAAGAAAGAAATCAGATGGAAGAGGAAAGGAGGTCTGGAAGTTCAATGAACAGGTCCAGGAATCTCCATTTTAACGTATCAGACCCAGTATGCTAATTAGGCAGTCACAAACCCAACCTGCTCCTGGTAAATCAAAGCACTGGAAAGTAATTGCAAAATGCTTATTACACAGAAAGAACAAAAACGCAATCGCAAGTCCCTCTCCACAACCTACATAATTCAGCTGGGGGGGGGGGTCTGTTTAAGGATCTGGCCTCATTTTTCTAGATATAAAAATGACTTCTCTCATGGATTTATTCAGCTACCATAAAATCAAGCCCCGGCAGTTAAACACCATAGATCTCAACACACACCCTTAACAATGAATTCCCTTCCATGCTAAGCAAGTTACAAGAAAACTCCATTTCTAAGTCTCCCAATGCATAGTAATTTGCAACTACTAAAAGGATTTTTGCAAGCTTGTCCACAACAAGGAAAAGGGAGGAAAAAATATCATGGCACCAAGAGGCAGGTAAAGAGGGATCAAAAATGATCTCTGGCAGAAATAATGGGTGGAAACCAAACATTCACTCTTCTCAGTGTACAATCAGGGAGGACTGAATACCGAATGATCTGTGGCAACCATAGCCTAAAGCAAACACGAAATTTTAATCTCTGACACCTTCAGACAGGTTCAACAAGCCTAGCTCCAAATATATATATATATATATATATACACATATATATATATAGGGTGGAGCATGTCCATATTCGTTTAGATTTCACTTTACTAGATTAAGAGAGCTCAGGTATAGATTTATATTCCATGTACTAGACATTGTATTTACCACAACACACAGAGCAGGCGTCTTTGGATACCCAAGCCCTTCTTAATGATTTTCAAACATTAATAAGTAAAGTAGCCTGCAATGCAGATAAGACACTAGAAACAAGACCAAAAGGAAACTGGGTGAGGGAGTAGGCGTTTGCTTGTTACCTGGTGCCACTAGGGGAAAAGACGGTCGTAGGAGGACTTTCTGCCCGCAGGTACAATCCCGGCAAGGTGGCTCCAGGTGGCTTTCACAGTCGTGCGCGTGTCTCGCTCGTCACTTCGCTGCCCTTTGCCATAGCTCAGCACCCGCATCCTAGGGAGTCGGAGAGGTGGCTCCTGCCACTGCCGCCACTGCCTGCAGGTCGCGCTGGGTGCGGGATCGGCGCGGATCGCCCCATGAAACCCGCAGCTCTGCGCCCGGGGAGCGGGCAGAGGCAGGACGGCCGCGCACTTACACACTCACACACACTCGCACACACTCAACGGGCGCGCGCACACTCACACTTGCACACGCAACACTGCTCCAGGAGGGAGAAACAAGGAGGGTCCGGGTCCTTCTCCAAACCGACTTCTTAAGCCCACCGGCAGCAAAGAACGGCGTCTCCTTTTCGCCTGGCCCTGCGATCACGTTTCCTTCAAGTTCTCCTCCAAACCAAATCCTCGTAATTCAAGAGCTGGTGACATTTTGGTAAGGAGTAGGAAGCCTGGAAAGGGCTGTACACACGTCAGGGTTTTTATGGGCTTTTTTTGTTTGTTTGTTTTTCTTTAAGCAGTTTGAAAAGCAATCCTCATTACCTTGTCTGTATAGTAAACCAGCTCCAGCTCGAAGGGCTGAACTTTCGTATCCTTCCTGCCGAGACAGCAAAGTCTAGATGCACGCACACAGGACCATCTGCAAGCCCCCCTCTTGACCTTGCCGTGTACCAGGAATCGAGTTAATACCGCGGCTTTCCAATGCGTGGCTAAAGTGATCCACACACCTGGGTCCTCAGCCTCTCCTTGGCTCTAAATCCAACCGGGAAAAGGCGTCTGGGCGTCCCTGGCGCTCCCGGAGAAGCGGAGCACGGAGAGTTCACACATTGGCTTCTGGGCAGTTGGATAAAAAGACAGTCAAATGCATCAGATAGGCGCGCGCACATAACACACGCGCACCAACACACACACGCACATCCACACGCAGCTAGCAGGAAAGCGGCTAACGAACCCCCGGAGAGACGCCAAGACGGCTGGAAACGGTAGCAAACATCCACAATCTTGTCCAGGCAACGGAGGGTCAGCAGAGGTGGAATGAAAGTCTTCTCGGGTCTTTGGATTCCTCCTCTCTTCTGCGTGTGTATTTCCAGAAGGCTTCCTCAGGCGGCCCCACCCCCGTCCAGTGCGCTTTATTTTATTTTATTTTTTTTCCTCCCTTGATATAACCGACCGTGCTAAACGAATTATACGGGTGGGTTGTGCTCATAGCCTAGAGCTCCCCAAAGTCAAGAATCCTAAAGGGATCAGCTAGCTACGAAGCCGTTCCACAGGCTCAGGGGAAGGAGGAAAACCACGCTCACACAGACACGCACACAAGCCTGCACACACACACACACACACACACTCACACTGCCCGCTCCGGGCAGCTCCGCACACGCTCGCCGCCTCCCTGCGCACCACGCCACACAGCGCCCCAGGCGCCCCGCCCGCGGGCCGCGTCGCCAGGGCGAGTCTGCAGCTTTAGGCGCGGGGCGGGGAGCCGGGCTCCGAAGCTGCAGCCGCCGCCCCGGCAGGCCTTGGAGACCCGCTCGTCTCCACAGTGCTTCCGTGCCACGGCGGCCGCCTGGCCGGGAGGAACGGCGCTCCCCGCTGCAGCATGGAGACGGCGGCGGCGGCGGCGGCGGCGGCGGCA